CCCTTCCACCAGACTATTTGTCATAATTCTTGCTGTTCCAACATTTGCCTAATAATACTAAATTTTATAACACAGTTTGTTTCCACCAGGTTACTAACCCTACTCGGACCTAGGGAATACCACCTCTAGGCACCTCCTTCTGTGCCCAAGCTTCATCATCCCTTTGATAGAGAGAAAGGATCTCTTGGCTCTGAGAGAAACCTTCGACCCTCCTCAGCAGGAAGTAGTTTCAGAAGAGACCCGAGGCCCCCTTTCCCTGAAAGAATTCAGAGCCAAGAACCTTGAGGGGGAATATGGTAGGCAGTTAGAGAGACATAAGCAGAGCAAGGATGATGGGCCAAATGGAGGAGAAATGGATAGGCCAACTGCTCTGAAGCTGGCAATGAAGGAATCTGTATAGAACCGACCTTTACATTTTGCTGAGTTGGAGTTGGGACACCTATTGATAATATATAGAATTATTCCATTAACTAATTGGAAAAAATTTACATTTACAGTTTTGGTAATAGAAGGCATAAAGATGCATTTTGAAAGAAAAAGAAAGGAGATTGACAAACTGAAGGGGACTAGGCAAGTTACAGAGGGTTTGTGTAAGTTGCAGAAGTTACAGAGGGTCTGTGCAAGTTAAAAAAGAATTAGAGTTGAGGAAGAGATATAAAGAAAGAGATATGACAGGAAGAAAGGATATTGGAGTAGGAATATTTAAGAAGGGAATGGAAAAGAAGTTCTATAGTGTTGGAAATAGAAGGCATAGGTATAGAGATACAAATGAAGAAAGTGAGTTAAAGTTATAAGGTTTGTGAAAGTCATAGAAGGGTTTGTGTAAAGAAATCTTAAAAAGAAATTATAGGTATATTGAATAATAAATTTAATTAGATAAATGAATCTAAAGTAAACTAATACAGAATTTGTTTGATTCTTTTCCAGTCTTTTAATTAAAAAAATAAAATTTAGTATAGTATAAAGTTGGTAGATACTAGTATCAACTAATCTACTTAATCAAAGGGGGAAAGAGTGGGGGACTTAAAATCTGATAGATAGAGCACCTGAATTAATCTGAAAAATAATCATATTATTTTAAATCTTAGAACACATATACTTATGTGTGTTAAGTTTTTCTTAAGTTTCCTTTCCAAGGCCTGTGCGAAGCAAGAGAGGTGGTGACTCAGCTGTGAATCCAGCAAGCAGAACCAATAAGCATGGTCAGACCGACCCACCAGGACTCAAAACATCATCCCATTAACATCCTTTAGCAACATCATCTCATCACCTAATTCCATTCCCAGCTTCACCTTAGCCCCTTCCCCCTAATAATCCTGTCCCCTGCACCTGCTGGAAGGCAGGACTTGATGCTTGTAAGCGCCCTGTCTTCTTGGTTGACTGGCCTTCTCAATGAACGCCTTATAATGATCCAAAGGCATATATGATCCAACCCTGCCTTTGTGATTGGACACAGTGACAGGCAGCCTGAGCCAAACAGGGGTTTCCCCAGTAACAATACTCTGGAAGGTAACAGAAGTGTTTTCTGTGAACTTCCTGGGTCATCATATGACATATTTTACTTTTTTGCTCTCCATTTTTATTAAGGACAGTTAATAAATTAATCCATTGGTATAACAAATTATATATTTCAATTGTTCCAATTGATTTTTTAGAGAGAGAAGATGGAGAGGCAGAGATAGAAACATCAGTGAGATAGAAACATCAACACTGATCAGCTGCTTCCAGCACAAACCCTGCTGGGGTTCAAGCCTGCAACCCTGGCATATGCCCTGACCTGGAATCAAACTGGTGACCTTTTGGTGCATGAATTGATGCTCAACCACTGAATGAACCACACTGGCCACTCCTATATCTTCTTTTTTTAAAATACCTTTTATTTTTAAATTACAGTTGATGTACAATATTGTATTAGTTTCAGGTGTACAACTCTGTGATTAGACATTCATATAACTTATACAGTGATTGCCCCATACATCTAGTACCATGTGACATCATATGTAGTTGTTACAATATCATTGACTGTGTTCCCTGTGCTGTAATTTTCCTCCCCACGACCACACTGTAAGGACCATGTTGTATTTCCTCCTCCTTCACCTGCTTTACCCGGTCCCTCCCCCCTGCCCTCTGGCAGCCAGCAGCCTGCTCTCTGTGTCTCTGAGTCTGTTTCTGTTGTAGGATTGTGTTCGGCTTGATTCCAGGCAGCTCTGAATGCTGGTTTTTCTGAAGTGTAGCTGTAATTTTTATGTGATTGTGGTGCGATGTGAGTATTGCATTTACCCTCACCACAATCTTTACCAGAATCCATTTTTAAAATATCGATTGAAGGATGAGGTTTTAGAAAAGATAATAATTTAAAACCCTTCAACCATGTTGTGTTTTTCCTTATTTTTTTTTATTGATTTCAGAGAGGGAGAGAGAGAGAGAAAAAAACATAAATGATGAGAGAATCATTAATCAGCTGCTTCCTGCACGACTCCTACTGGGGAATCCAGCCTGCAACCCAGGCATATGCCCTGACCTTATGGTTCATAGGTTGACCCTCAAAGACTGAGCCATGACATCTGGACTCAACCCTGTCATTTTAAAGTGAAACTGGTTTTGTTCTCTGTCTGTCTTCTCTCTGCAGGTCAGTGCTGGGGAAGAGGAAGGACTATGGAGGTCGGGTGTCAGCCCATTTGTGCTGAGCTTGGACTCAGTGCCCATGTCAGCGGAGTGAAAAGGCGAGGATGTCCATCATCTCCTGAAAATAGTGTTGACCCCCCACCCCCACATCCTGGGAAAGGCTCTTAGGTACTTCAGGGGTTCCACAGACCACACTTAGAGAACGGTTGTTCTGGATAAACCAGAGGAGGTCTCCCTATGGCCCTGGCCCTTCTCTCCTCTTTTCTTCGCAGAATCACTCTCCCTCAGGTGGACTCCCTGCACCTCCCAAACTGAGCTTAAAACATTGCTCCAGGGATGTTCTAGAAAAGAGCTCACCCCTGAAAATTTAGTGCCTTCAGTCTGGGAGGGAGGTGGAGGGATAGGCGTGTCCCCTTTGAGACAGGGAACATTTTGTGCCTGAAGACACCAGTCCCCCAGACACCTACTATGGTTTCTACACCCCAGCTGAGTGTGCGCTCACATCCCTGACAGAAACCTGACATGGTCTGTAAGAGAAGTCACACTGACTTCATCTAGATGGTGGTATCAGGAGGGGCAGCTCTATGGGTGGGCAGCTCAGTGACCATCTAGAGACCAGGCCACCTGCAGCGAGGGTGGAGGGGCCGCTGGGGAGAAGCAGCCTCGCTGTCAGTAGCTGTGTGGTCCTCTGGGAGCTGCGTGGGGCCCTGTGTGTGTCTGTGTTGAGACGCAGGGAGTGGGTGTTGCTCTGTCTCCCTTGTCAGGGCCTCAGGACGGCCGTGTCTGAGGGTGATGCTCTGAGAGGTGACTTGTGTCCAACAGAAGAGGAACCCGGCCCAGCTGTGAGCTCCGGGCCAGCTCCCGACAGCACTGAGGCCTCGTGTGTCAGACCAGTTCCTGTGGGGGCTGCTTCTCCTTCTCTCTGAAGTCCAATATCTAAAAGCATCCACCACCCAATCCACAAGTAACGCACATGAGGAAACAATGTGGAAAAGAAGAAATGTGAATGAGAAACAACTATATCTGTAATAAACACATGGAAACAATAATGAGAACGTGGACTAAGAAAAATAGGAATAAAATTAAAATCCATCGGTTTGGGAAAGAAGAAAGGAAATGATGGGAATATCTGCCAGAAGGAGGGGAAACACACTGTGGTAAAGACAGAAGGAGTTGAAGGGACACAATTTCTAGGGGAGCTTTTACCTAAAGTCTCAGCCATTGAATATGCTCACATTCCCCGGGGCTGGTGCGCTCAGTTGGTTGAGCATCGACCTATGATCCAGGAGGTCAAAGTATGATGTGAGGTCAGGGCACATGCCCAGGGGGCCACCGCCATCCCCAGCAGCTGTTCAATGATTCTCATCACTGATGTTTCTATCTCTCCCCCTCCCTTGTCTGAAATCAATAAAAATATATTTAAAGAAATAATAAATGTGCTTACATTATGACATAGAAATGTCTTTTTTAGGCATTTATTTAAAGAAGATAGTCACACGTGTCCTGAATATATACACATTGAAGGCTGTTTCTCCTATTGTGGTTATAAACCGACAGAATAGGATGTGTGTAAGCTCTCTAACCCCTGTCACCATGGTAACTGTGGGAGGGGAGCGCTTACTGAGTCTCAGGCACTCACCCCCTGGGACCCACATGGAGGGTCAAACTGACTCCGCAGTGCAAACCCACGAGGCACCAGGAGAGGGTGCTGTCGGGGGGACAGGGAGGAGCAGCTCAGCCATTGGCCAAGAATTTTCAATTGTACTGTACATGAGCGCCCACACAAGGTATTTTGTGTAAGAGCCACACTCAAGGGGCCAAAGAGCCCCATGGGGCTCTTGAGCCGCAGTTTGCCGACCACTGGGCTAGGCCATCTGGGTGAAAGGGCCCTTGATTTTGCACACCCTCCAAGGCCCTGAAGCACCCATTTCTCAGAGGGTCACCACCCTTAGGTGGCACAGGAATGACTGTGAATGGATGAAACGCATCAGAGCAGTGTGCTGTGCCCCTGAGCCTCCCAGTGCTCCCTGTCAGTTGTACCTCCAGCCCTTCTAGAAGCTCCTGCGGGCTCCCTGGGCCACACTGGCCTCCCGCGGAGGAGCACTGAGCAGCATCACTCTAAATATCACAGCAACTGCCAGCCACAGGTTAGATCATCAATAGTCATGCCCAGCAGCACAGGGTCCCAGGTGCTCCACGATCCTTAAAATCAGCAGCAAGGGACACAGAGTGAGGAGGCAGGAAGCAGGACCTGGCAGGTCTGCGTCAGCCACGTGAGTGTCCCCTGAGGTGGGGACACAGAGAGAGAAATGGAGGGCAGAACGTGGCATGGGTAACGGGGCCACCAGCATCAGGGTGCTGTGGGGCCTCTGGTCTCAGGGGAACTCACAGGGAGGCCTTGCAGGGAGAAGGTGCCGCAGGCCAGGGGGTGACTCTGCGGGACACGCACTGTGGAGACACCGGCTCGGGCCAGGGGGACAGTGACCATGGCAGCGGTGATGTACACCAAGATGGCAAAGCTCATGTTGCACCCCGAGTGTGAGCAGAACCCCCCATCTACATTTCAGTGACGAACTAGAAACCCAAGTGGCACCTCTATACCTGGCACCTCCCACACTGTCTAACAGGGTTTATCCATCCCATCAGCCAAATTAGAGGGTCAGCCGTGTAAAAACATGCAGGTGTAAGAAGCAACTCGCTCAAAACCAAGCTCCTACCTTGATTTTCTCTGTAACACACCCGAATCTCACAGAACTAGGAATGGACTAAACATACAGAAAATGGGTAAAACAACTCTTCATTCTCCAATGTGTGTATCTTCCTCTAGAAAATAAACTATCCACTCACGCAGGAGTGATGTTACCCAAGTCCAACATCAGACATGTGATAATGGAAGGCGGGGATTGCTTATATCCACCCTGAGATAAAATTTACATAAAACCTTCAATATTCCTTACAAAGAGAGAGAGAGACACTTCTTCCAACAGCTGCACTGTTCAAAGGGAAACGTATTTCCTGAAAAATTTCATGTAACTTTATTAACCTCCGTAGATTAGGAATTGACTTTAACATCTCCCAGGAGAGCATTCATTGCACATTGATTGTTGTGCATTGTATATGATAAATGGTTTTGACGAAATGATTACTGAATAAGGATCATTATTGGTGATGTCTACATATTTCTCATCTCAACTGTGATTTCAAGAACTCAGGAGTTCTAAGACCCCTCAGGAGCAGCAGAGAGGGGCTGACAGGGGAAAACAGGGCCCTAGAAGGAGGCAGGAGCAGGAGGAGCCTCCACATAGCGGGGTCCTGTGTGCAGGGACCCCTGGGCCTGTGGAACAATGACGGGGAACATGTACCCTGTGCTGTCAGATGGGGGACACCCAGACAGTGAGACCATAACTCACACATGAAAACAGTAACAGGCATAATATCTACAAAAGCAAAGAAACAACAAACACCCAGAAGATGGGTGCTGGGGTCCCATCCAGGCCTGAGCCCAGGCTGACCAACCCCAGGAAGGCCTTGCTGTCCATGGTCCTGGAGATGCGCTGCATTAGGACATGTGTCAAGGCCTCAGTGATGTCTCAGTTCCAGTGACAACAGGTCCTGGTGGACAAGGTTCTACTGAGGAACAAGGTCAGAGGAGCAGAGAGGTGACCCAGCCGAGGAGTGGCCACGTCAAAGCCCACAATGCACTGAGCACCACCTGGGCACAGGCCCCGACCACAATCGGTCTTCAAAACATCTCCTGTCAAAACCTGGGACAGCTCAGAAAAGCAAACACATGAGCTTGGGAAAGTTCTTGGTGTTTATATTTATTTCCCCTCAAAATTTACAATCTTCTCCGGTCTTCAAAACATCTCCTGTCCACACCTGGGACAGCTCAGCAGAGCAAACACATGAGCTCTGGAAAGTTCTTGGTGTTTATATTTATTTCCCCTCAAAATTTACAATCTTCTCCTTTAATTTACCCACCAACCCTTCATGGCAAGAAATGAACAAAGTCACATCCACAACCTCATTTCAATGCGGAAGAAACAGCTTGCAGCTCAGAGCACCAGGAAGTTAAGACAGTGATAGTGAGGGCCCAGCCCGCCCCTGCTGGACCAGAAAGTGTGGGGAGCAGAGCAGGCCAGCCCCCATCAGAGGTTCTTGAATCAGGAAGTGGGAGCGTGAACACATCTTCCATCACTCAGTCCCCACAAGGCAGCTGCCTCAGGCCGTGGAGGACAATCATCATGAACAGATTCAGGTCAGTGGCTGTAACTGGTGACATTCTCAAAGCCCACTTCATGCTCACAGTGCCCCACAGACTCCCCACCACCCAGTCCTCCCCTCTGCCCTCCCCTCCCCACGGCAGGGTCTCACCTTTAGATGCCGAGAGACACATCAGAGCTCTGGGCGCTGTCACTGCCTAGAGTGCACACTCAGACCCCACACCTGCCTACCTGAGCGCCTCCTCCCCCACATCACAGCTCCAGCCACAGCTCCCAGCAGAACCAGGCCCCCAGTGATGCCCATGATGCTGATGACGAAGGTGTGAGAAGGTGGCTCTGAGGGACAAAGGATAGGAAGGGTGAGGGCCCTGACCCCAGGCCTCAGCCCCTACCCCACTGAGGTCCCCCAGGACCCCTGCTGCCCTGAGAAGAGGCTCTGGGCCCATGGCCCCTCCTCACCCCATCTCAGGGTCAGGGGCTCGGACAGCCCCTCGTGCTGCACATGGCACGTGTATCTCTGCTCCTCTCCAGGGGGCACCCCCACAGCCGCCCACTTCTGGAAGGTCCCGTCCCCCGCAGGCCTGGTCTCCACCAGCTCCATGTCCTGGGTCTGGTCCTCCCCGTCACGCTTCCAAGTCAGGCTGATGTCCGCAGGGTAGAAGCCCAGCGCCCAGCACCTCAGGGTGACCTCACTGGCAGAGACGAGGTGGTGGGTCACGTGTGCCTTTGGAGGGTCTGAGGGGAGGGAAGAAAATGCAGGAACTTTGCATCCACCATGGGACACTCCAGCAGCACTCATGAGACCATCCCGAGAGTGAACAGCACACCTGGGGTGGGGGAGGGAGCACACAGCTCACACACCAGCCTGCACAGAGGCACCTGGAAGGCCCTCCTAGTCTTTAGAAAGTTCTAGAATCAGAGAGACACAGCCCAGGGCAGGAGGCAGGTTTCTGAGGGAGAAAAGGGATTTGTGGTCCTGACCTGGGTGGAGGCCACGTGACTCAGAAAAGCTGGGGCCAGGCCAGACACAGTGGGTATGGGCAGCGCACAAGGTCTGAGAAAGAATGTCCCCGTTCGTTCCAGAGCAACTGCAGGGCCCATGGGAATCGCTGATGGGTTATTTCAGGGGGTCTCCCTGCACCCCAGGAGAGCCTGCACCCCTAACTGTCCCTGAGAGGAGGGGGTCCCTCTGGTACCTGACCTGGACATCCAGGGGGCTCCCTACCTGATCCCAAGGAGGGGTGTCTGACACTGACCCCCTGTCCTGTCTCCTTGTAGGAGGCCCAGCCCCGGGGAGAGGGGACGGTCCCATGGCCCCTGGTACCTGCGCGCTGCAGGGTCTCCTTCCCTTTTTCCAGGTGATTGCGGAGCCACTCCATGCAGGTGTCCTCCAGGTAGAACCTCATCACTTCCGCAAAACTAGCCCACTCCCACTTGTGCTTCATCTCCCACTTGTGCGCAAAATTAATCGCCTCCCACTTGCTCTTCGTCTCCCAGTTGCGCTTCGTGATCTGAGCCGCCATGTCGGCTGCGGTCCAGGATGTCAGGTCCTCGTTCAGGGCGATGTAGTCGGCGCCGTCGTAGGCGTATTGATAGTAACCACGGAGGAGGCGCCCATCGGGTCCCATGTAGCAGCCTCGCATGACCTGGAGGGTGTGAGACCCTGACCCCGCCCCACGGTCAGCCCCGACCCTCCCGCCCCGCGGGGACTGAATCTAAAACTGAAAGTTAAATCGGTTCTAAGTCCCCGCGGGCCCCTCCCCAGTGGTGGCCAGGCGCCTCCCGCCGCCTCCGGGTGACGCTCGGACCCGGACCCTCGGGGCGACCCCG